GTCTCAGTTTTGGAGTGATATGTAAAAAAAAAAAAAACAACAACACACAAAGCTGTTGTAGCTGAAGATCAACGGTCAGTTATGGTGAGGCCAGATTTTGGACATTAAGGAAGTAGAAGCGAGAAGAAGTACGAGATCTCCAAATGTGGGGAAAAATGTTCCTTTAAGGATATTTACAAATCTTTCAAACGTTTTTCATTAACAAAATATCAAAAACCAAGAGTTTAATTTTTAGTGGCATCAAAATAACAACATCTGGAGATACATTACTCACATGAAGTTATTTTCAGTACAGTTTTCTGTCAACTAATCATTCTAGTAATTGAAAAAAGCGAGCCGGTCTGTTATTACTCATTTTATAGTATGCCTATAGCAATGCAACAGGCCTCGTTTGAATCACTGAAAGATATGGCCAGATAGAAATGAACTTGAAGCAAACCTTCAGGATGGAGGGAGTGTTGTGTGTGTGTGTGTTGTGTGTGTGTGTGTGTGTGTTTCAGCAGTGCAGATAAAAGCATCTCTCTGATGAGTGATATTTGGTAGTAGCTGCCCGGTCGGTGACATTGCCTCTCTCCCAAGTCTCCTCTTCCTGCGTGATCTCTTCTGCTCCTGTCTGCCTGCTTTTGGATCTCTTCCATCTCTCTTTCTCTTTACTCATCCTCACCTAAATTGACTCATCACATCATTTTTCTTTTTCTGTCAAATACTGAACTCTTTGTGCTGGAAGCCTGATGGACAGACCCACAGACATTACCTTAAATACCCTGTGATGTGACTTTGTATTCCCGTATTTCATTGGCCAAACAGCAGGTAAATCAGCAGCTGTTGGCCTTTACTACGAGGACAGGGAGCTCTCTTGGGAGTCCTCCTGACAGAGCCGCTGCTGAATTTTTAATTTTTTCATATACAAGGACAAATCTGAGGGAAAAGATTTCTGGATTTATAACTGATCAGAGAACAGATTCTGAGTTTTTTTTAAACCAGGCAAACATTAAATATTTTGGAAATGCATGCAGGATATTTCTGCAAATGTATTTTAATTCCACAAATACAGTATACAGAAATGATTGTCTTGCTTGTAGATTGTTATGGATAAATTGCCTACCAGAAAGCCAGTTTTATGAATGCTCAGTTTCTCCTCACACACAGCTCTTTACAGCTCAAATGGTTTGTGAAGCGTCTGTTATATTGAGGTGGAAATGCATCAGCTCAAAGAAAAAAAAAAACAAGCGCTTCGACCTCATTGTTGTTGTTCATGTAGCTGCATCAACATTGGAATTTTTTTTTCTCAATCCACTCTTTCCTCGCTATAATCCACCACTTTTTCTTCAATGCTGCCTCTTAATGCTACAGTTCTCTCTTCATTTCCTTCCACCACTGTGAAACTGCCTCTGTTGATTTCCCCCCTGTGTCCAGCAATCTACCACCCAAACTCTACCCTGTTTGCCGTCCTCTCCTTTCCACTTTCAGTTTGGGGAGTAAGTCAAAGTTGCAGGGAGCATCAGAGAGTATCATGATTGTCATTGTCCCCGGGGAAAGTCCTTGAGAGCTTTCAAGGACACAGTAGTCTCCTGGCTGGACGACGGCTTATCAATTGTGGCCGCCAAACTACACCGCCCGGGGCACAGAGATACCACTGATCTGCACAGATATGGACTTTGTGTCTCTGTACCTAGCGCCACCTGTTGGCCTGCATATAGCACCAGATTCGAAGGCTGAAACACACTCCTTATCTCCCCCCCCACACACACACACACACACACACACACACACACACACACACACACAAATCCACACTTTAACTATGGATGTTGTTTTGCTGATGCAAGTCACTTCCAACCAAATAGCATTAAAGTCTTGTATTTAGAAATGTTGACCCAAATTTGAGCATACATATCACTACGGTTCCTGTCAAAGGAAATAAGATGATGAGTCAAACAGTATGGGCTTATCAAATAGGACTCATGTTATTTTAGGCACCTCATTACCATAGAAAGTGAAAAGCGTCAGACATGCTTACCTTGCTCTGATGTTTATGAGACTTATGTTATATATGCTTATCCACCATGAAGACACTGTGGGATTTGTTGCTTCTTGAATGTCTCGTTGGCTTTTTTTTGGTGTAATGGAGATGGTGAAGGACGCAAAAGTACAAAGGGTGCATTAGCTCATTCCACAGCTTGTGTCACACCGGATGCAAAACACTCCACAGGACGTGCAATCAATATAAGTTGGCACACAATGGTTTTACAGTAGATACGTGGGCTGAATGCAGATGTGGCCACATGTGCTGCCCATTCTCCGCCATGAATATACAATATGTGTCCATCTGTTTTTGTAGTTGACTTTCTCCTGATGGATCCAACTAATCCAAGCACACCGTTAGTGGTGTTACACACTCTACATCACGGTGTGCTGTATCCACTGGGAAACACAATCACCAAAATCACCGCTGGGCACTCATCCATAATAGAACGACACATCTGACTATTAAGACCTGGAAACCCTGGGGTGTTTAACAGAGTTCTGCTGGTTTGGCTTCCTGTTTAATGTACCAAATTACAGCCTTCGTTTATAGACCTCCTGTTGCTAGGTAAGTTAAATTACCCACAGGAGCCATTCTGCAGTAAATACAAATGTTACATCTTAAAACCGTTAGAGGTTTTTAACAGTTACACTCAGGCCACAGCATTTCAGAGATGATTAACTTGACTTTTTAGTGGGCTGTAAATTATCTTTCAGGATTTACCAAGTGCCTCTTATCAGAAATAACATCACTGTTTTTTCCTAGATCACTTTTACTTTGTGTGGTAAGCAATAGAGCAAGGTTTATCCAGCCGGCAGAGAAACATTTCTGCACACTCCCTGTTTGTGCATTCATAAGCTATTTGTGGCAAATGCTGCTGTAGACACTGGGCCGGGCAGGAGGTTCCTCCTGACCATTTACCTGATTAGCTTTTGAAACACACACACACACACACACACACACACACACACACACACACACACACACACACACACACACACACACACACACACACACACACACACACACAGAGAGAGTGAAGCCAAAGATATCCAGCATTAACACACACATCAATGATCTTCTAAAGCCCCTCTAAAACACACATGCAGAAACAAGAGTGTTTCCACAAGGGCAAACACATACCAGCCACTACAATGATCTGTTTAGCTGCACACAAACATGTATACAGTATGTTCTTGCCACATTGAGCTTATTGTACACGCTGATTTTCACACACACACACACACCCTTCATTTTGTCCATACATCACTGCCAATTCACCGCAGTCTACTAATGACTCGTCTCTAATGAGTCATCCTGAAGTCAGCCTCAGCTGAGTTCGTTCTCTCATTCCATATCATGCCGGTCAATACGAACACACCCATGTACTCGGCTTTATGCTGATTCCACTTCACACATCAGATTCAGGCAGACGTCTATTCCTTACAGCTGTAATAAAAAAAACAGCTTTTCTTTGGTGCTGATAGAAATGTGGGGAATTCTGTACAAAAAATCATCTTTTATTAACCCATGTGGTCCTTTTTCTTTATATTTGGCGTCTTTTTCCCATTTGACCATTTAAACTCCCTCACGAGTCTTAACCATGTTTATATAAACTGTCTCATTACGTTACTTTTAATATCCACTATGTGCTGTTTATCTCTCCCAATATATCAAATACAACAAAATAATAATGTTCCTTTTATTAATTTTAAGCACATGATTGATTCTGTTCCTCTGTCAGGTCCAGCACACCAGCTGCTGCTCACTTGATATCTTTAGACATTAAGGAATGATTTTTGTTTGGCAACAACATTTTTGTGCACAGTTCGATCAAATTCTGCAGTGTTTGTTTCCTTTTTTTTTTTCCTTGTTTCTTGGCAGACGGATCGGATTCAAAGTTTCCTGACATGTGTGCTACTAATTGACACAGAAGGGAAGTGATCACTCTCTTTTGGGGATATGTTGGTGCAGTGTTTGCCTGGACTTCTTATTTTTTTAGGATATTGACATGTAGTGGAGCAAATGATGTCAACACTTTGGCTCTCTCACAGTCTTAGATAGTGAGGTCTAACTACAGAACAAGACCTGCACTGCTTGTAGGGATTGATTGTCTTTATCCACTTCCTCATTTTGGACACTCTGCTGGCCGTTCTCTCTCAGTGCTGCTGCAGCATCTCTTCTATCTAACTGCTCTCTGCTTTACTCTGCTCCTGTAGGAGTTGATGACCAAATTGATAACTGAGACTCCAGACCATCCAATCCCTTTTCTCATTGATCACCTGCAGACCAAGCAAGACAGCCCAGGCAAGCTGCACAGAGCTCTGTCAGGCTCCGCAGCACTGTGGGCGCAGAGCTCCCCAGGTCTGTACCCCCGAAAGCAATAACACACTATGACACACACACACACACACACACACACACACACACACACACACACACACACACACACACACACACACACACACACACACACACACACACAGACAGAATAACATTTGTCTTTGTACAGTCTCTCCAATATTGGCACAGAGACAGTCATTAGTCCGCATCTGCGGCAGAGCTTGCAGAGTAAACTTGGCTTCCATTCATACTCTTTAAATTTGCATAACAGTGGCATTGTGAGCAGAAATTATGACTCCCTCTCTTTTCAGAAAGCAAAAACACTCGCAGGGAGCACAGCAACTATGAGAAGCCGTGGCAAATTCACCCGAAGAAACCGAAAAAATCCAAGAGTGACCTGGCTGTGTCAAGTATCTCTCCTCCTTCACCTGAATCCAAGTCCTGTAAGTTTCTCTTTTCGGTGTGAAAGTCTTTTTCTGCTTTTCTTGCACAGACACATAATCCCCTTTTGAATATGAAGCTTTACAGTTTTGATACCTGTTGTATCACTTGTATCCCAATTACACGCTCCATTGACTTTAATCTCCATTTTTAATTTGATATAATTATATCTAATTAGAGTTAGCACAGGGTATAGTCCAGGGTCCGCCCTCAGCCCTGCAGATGAGTTCATTACAAAGTTCCACTTTTTACACACTTGCTGCTGCACTACTACACACTCTGAAGACAAATTGTTCACAAAAGTTCTTCCATTAATGCTAAACGAATGCAGATGAGGAGATTTTTCTGGTGCTAACTTTTTTTTGTACCAGCAATAAATTACCTTAGCTATGAAGTATGACACTTGAGACAATGAGGATGGATCAAATGGGGAGCATGCAGAGAAGTAGTCTACTTCAATAATTTAACACTGTGCTCTATCACTGCCAGACCAGGGCTATTTCAGGCTGCGGTCGAGCATTCCTCACAAAAGAAAAGGAAACGACGAGTGCACAAAAAGAGATCAAAGAGAAAAAGTGAAAGTTAGAAGTCAAAATAAAGTAAGCGACACTCGGCGCACGAGGTGTTCTTCTCTTATGAGCATTAGCAGCAATCCTGCTCCCACTCCAGAGCCCTCAAAGATACATTTAAAGACAAGTCACATTAAAAATACATGCTCGTGTTTTGATTTGCAGAGCTCATGAAAAATTGAAATCGAAAGAACAACCGCTCATCATTATTGTAAAATGTTGCAAGAACAACAGTAGCTGTCATGAATATAAACCTCAGAGGTTCTAATATTCTTCATCTTTGTTTTGGTTTCTTCCTCTAAACTGATGCTTTAATGGGCAGCCAAAGTTAGAACTAATTCTTTACATTTAATGTATGCTATTTATTGACAGCACAACCCTTTGAATTAGCAGCACAACACAAAGAGGCGAGCAGGGAGAGGATAGCAAGACTTTTTTTTTTTTTCACGATGTAATGAAAGTTTTTTTTTTTTTTCATTTAACGAGTCTCCATTTGGCTGAAAACATTTGCTCTGTTTTTATGGCTGCTACAATGCCAAGCAGCTTAGTCAGGGTAAACAAGGGTGGAGGATGGCAGATTGTAACAGCAGTGCTGTCAAATATTCACCACTGAGATTACTTATCCGTGTGTGAGTGTTTGTGTGTGCGTACAGAAGGGTGATGCTCACTCTCTGCACCTGTCATCACATATGTGTTTCATTCAAGCATACATGACATTTACACAGAAGTTGCTGCATTCAGTTCTTTTCAATGAGTTCGTTAAGGCTAGTAGACAACCAGTACATTTGTTTGTCTTCTCGTCCTAGCCCACATGTGATTTCAAATTCAGCTGCTTTAAGATATGGATGAACTACAAGTAATCCCTGAACTGCAAAAGAATACATCTATTTCATTTTATAAATAATGTCTAAACACTTTATGAATTAACCATCATACAGAAGCTGAGGGACGCTGTTAGAGGACGTGGGCAGGATTTCAGTGCAGTATGTGGGTCACTTCCTGATCCTGTGAGTTATTTTCAATGTTGATCAAAGAGACTGACAGACTCTGTCCCCTGGCCTCTGTCCAGTGAGCTCTGTGTGCTTCTGAAAGAGACATGGTGACTTTTCTGCCAGGGTTTCCATTCCACTCCATCCTGCAGTTTAGACAAATACGCAATCTGTGACATTTAGAGATCAAACACATCAAATCCTTTACAGTTCAGATCTGTGAAAGTATGGTTGTTTTTTTTCTGTTCCCAGTTTTAGAACGTTTGATCAGACTTCTATAACTTTATCTGAGGATAAATCAATGTGTGTGTCTTTTTCTGGTTTGTGTATCAAGTGCCACGATCTATCGAGTGCCCGTCCTGGGACTGGAGGGAGAGCCGGGACTTCGACGAGCTAAACCACATCCTGCGGGAGAGCAAGAAGCTGGGCAAGGCCCTGGAGAGTCTGTCCCGCAGTGAGTGGCTGCCACTTGCCCATACAGAGCAATGTTTAATACATCTTAACATACAGAACTAAAGAGTAGGCCTTTCTTGTAAATGTCACTGTAATTCCTGAGAGGAAACCGGATCAAGCAGCTAATCTTACAAGCCTGCTGAGCTCAGAAGCAGTCTTAACTGGGATTTCAAATTGTATAAGATGCTTCTCTCTGCTTTAAAATCGTTTTGCTTCTCTCTGCAGGCATCGCCATCTCTGATGAGCTCGATCAGGTAAACGTTAGCGACAACTGACTCTTTTATTGAAACCCTCCACAGACATGTCCCTCATCCCTCATACAGCATCAAGTAAAAGCCACGTTTCATAACTTTCACTTGGTTGAAATGGCAGCACAGGTCTTCTTCTGCAATGATCTGCTATCTCATGAGAGTGATATGTGAGAGTGATACTTCAGTAAGCATGCCTTTCCAGCTCCCTCTCTCTCATTGTTTCAGTGTGCATTTGTACTTTGAGTCCTGCCTTTGTCCTCACACGGCCCCAATTCTCTCCCATCACAATAGTGCAGCGGTCGCCCAGGATGGAGACACACCGAGCGATTTGTGAATGATGTCTGGCTGAGGGACACAGCATGTGTTTTGACAGGACTTCACTTTCTGCACAGTGCAGCAGCACATGTCAAATGTCCTTGGCTCTCATCCTAGAGATTGTCTTTTTGTTCTGTGGGATGGGGCAGGGAATGAATACCAAACAGCTGCTCTGATCATGCAGAGACAATAGTTTGTGGTACTATGTAGGATTTAGGCAAAGACAAGCAGACATATCTTTGCCATCCGTATTCAGCAGAGTTGTAAATGTGTGCTGACTGGCTTTGGGAGCAGAAAAGAGAGGAGACAGATCTCAGATTCTTGTTCTTTGCAGTATAAAAACTTGGTGCTTTGTATTATCTTCCCTGTTCAATCTGATCCCCTTTTCATTTAAATCTTCATCTTTGTTTTTCTATCTGCCCTCCTCAGTTTATTGTCTTGCCTCTGATCATTTCTCTTTTGCTGTTTTAGAACTTGGGAGGCTTTAACTCAGTGATGCGCCCGCGGGTGGTGGGAGAATGGGTGGGCCGGGAAGAGGAGGACGCGGACCCGCTAGCTGCTGAAATGCTGCACCCTCCTGTCCCTCGAGCTAAAACAGAAGTGTGCTGGAGTGGAGACAGCAGCCCTGCTGGGAGGTCAGTGATTGACATTAAACTTGTCACAAATGTGTGTGTATGTGTGTGTGTAACTTATTTAAATATAAAAAAAGATTAAAAGTTATGGTTCACAGTGCTATTGTTGGCTCTTTAAAAGGTAGAAGGTAGACTTCTTACTGTGGCTCCTGCTGCCTGAGGAATGCCCATCTGAATGGGTTTGATAATCCCATTTCAAAGGCCCGATCAAACAAGCTTGCCATGATACTGCTTCAACCCAGTTTCAAATTAAAGCTAACCTCATTTCTTGGCGCTCAAGGCCAGAAGAATTTTGTGCTTGTTACTTATAAATACTGACAGTATGTCAGCTTAATTTGTTGGTCTTTTAAATCATTTGTTACCAATACTGAGAAAACTTTCCACATTTTTTGGTTTCATTTATTTGTTTGCTAAACTATCAAAGTTCCAAATAGCCTGGAACAAGCGGCATCTCTTTGACTTGGAGATAACGCTGCAGAGCCTGTGTGTGACTTTGTATAAGGGAGTCACTGGCGCTGCAGCTGCTGATGTGACTAATTAGAGGAGGATTGGATATAAAATCATAAATCATGTGCAAGCCTGAGCTGACATACCCGCAGTGTTAATCTTATTAGGTGACTGTATGGGTGGATTATGGGGAAATCACTTAGTTAGAAGTCTGAGCTGGGTGATAGTGGGGTGTGTGAGAGTGTGTGTATGTAGACTCACTGATGAGCTCCGCTCTGTGTGTGTCTGTAAATGAGGTGTCTCGTGTTTACCTATAAAAGGTGTGAGATAACTCCTGTGTGCTTGGATTGGTGCAGCATCTCAAAATAATTACAGCCTCTTCTCTCATCAGCTGGAAGAGGATTTGGCTCATCTGAGGGATCATTTCTATTAACTCTGAATTGCATTAACAGGGAATTTGCTCCCACCTCAGATCCTGTTGTTGGATTGAGATCACTTCCAGATCCTCTGAGGCACAACGCCAAAAATAGTAAGATCTGAATAACAATACATTTATTTTAGTTAAAGGTTAATTGAAGTACACATTTACCAGACCTAACTCTCTATAGAGGGTGACGAAGAGTTGAGGGAATGGTGCGCCGAAGGACTGAGTGACTAGAGGCGAAGTTTGTGCGGTGTAGCAGTCATGTGGAATCCACTTATTTACAACAGGAAAATCATTGTTGTACTTTGGACATGAATTTGTTGAGCAAATAAAATCTTAGTAAATGTGGACGGGATACATTTTAGAATCAGTGTGCAATCTGAGGATAATATCTTGCTCAAGGTGCAGTACTAATAAACTTTCAAAAAACCTGATGTCTCTATGTTGACTGATTATCAACATATTAAGTTTTACTGCTGATAGCTAGTTTGGCAAAGAAGGAGGGGGGGTTGTTTTTGGTGGCGCATTTGTTTTCTATCATCTGAGGCCCATGAACAAGCGTATGCCAATTGAAATGTAACATTAACTTAAACCATTAATTTAAAATCCAGAGCCAATAGGACGTTGTAAGGTTTATACATGTGTATCAAATGAGATATCTGGCCCCTTTGAACTGATGAACTGAACCCTTAAAAACCCTTAAAAACCAACAGCCTTCTCTAAAACCCCTGAAAAACCTTTAGAGTTATTTTTTTACTTTAGTGGATTTACTTATTTTCAATTTTGACCGTTTTGCTCCTGTGTCTCAATTTAGCGGCCCGCCTGTTACTGAGGTGAACACGGAGATCTGACAGGTGGTGATGTTCCTCCGTGTTATTTTTTTAGAAAGTGCAAGGGGTAGCTTGGAGATCAGATTGAACTGAGGCAGGAACCTCTTCAAAGAAATTGTTCATTGTGTCTGACTGTCCGTTGAGATGGGGCTCCCTTTACTCCGTCTGTCAGGTCCTTCAACTTGCACTCCCCATTTGTATTAGATTTATTTTTAACTTACTTTTTCTGCAACAACATGTAAACTTCCAACAACAGGAATTTTTTTTTTTCAACCACTGAAAAATGGTACTAAAAGGCATAGAACAAATATACAGAACACAAGTGCAGAATCACTGAAGCTATCTTACCCTGTCTGTCTGAGCAGATTGAATTATCACAGAAACACCATAAAGACGCTGTGAAGAGGTATCTGTCATCTCACGACCCTTCCCCATTATCTGTAAATAGAAGTCATTAAACTGAGATTAACATTAAATGAATTCTCTTCCGCCTGTTTCATCCACACCCGATGGGATTTAATTTAATTTAAAATTTTGATTTAATTAATGATGCTGCAGAAACCATCTTTCATAATTATAACTGTTTCTTTAAACATATAGAAAGGAGACCTGGTTTCCATCCTCCATGTCCAGGCTTTGAAAGAGGAAACCTCACCTCAGGAATCTGAAGGGAAGCATTTGATTTCATACCAGCCATGTGTTGTTTTTGATTCAGCAAAAGCCTGGAAGACTGCCTGAGAACCCTTTGGCTAAGGTTACTACGAGTGCTGCACTAAATAGGAATGAATGCAGTAGAAAAATGGTGCATTTCTATAGCTGCTTATGTGGCTTATGTTTGTGAATGGCTATGTATAATAAAATGCTGGCTTTACAGACACAGATCAAATGATAAATAACATATTGTACAAAAAATAATAAGCAACTTCTCTTCTACATGTTGTAAAAACTGTACCCTTGCTTCACTGTTTGCTTGAATGATTCAAATATTTGAACAATGTATTTTTCTCTCCCTGTTCGGTATTAATTCAATCTTTGTTGATTCCTTTTGTATTGGCTTATTTACTGTTGACTTAAAAATACAGCAAACACTATGAAAACCTTGAACATCTCTTCCTGGTGATAAATCTTCAGGGCCCTCTTTCTAACCTCACTTTTTCTTCTGCTTATAGTCTTTGGTTTGTGTTCTGACTACTTCCCATGTTGCTCACCTCGTCGCAATTAGCCTTTTTTATTTGCTCCTCTGCTTTCCATTTTTAGCAAGGTGCTCTGCACCTGCATGCTACTTCAAGTGATTGTATGGTATTTAGTCCCTAACAACCAAGACATCCTGCCAACAAGGACTTTAAATGTAGTGACATCTGCACCCCACTAAGACAAATGCAGCACTTTGTACCTCCAGTAATGCCTGACCTTTTTGATACAAGCTTCACAGATTAGAATGACATCATGTAATTACTGTATGAGCACATTTATTATAAAAAAACACACTATATTTATTGAGTATGTTCCAGTATTTGAATGCATATCCCTGAGGTTGAGCAATGACATTTTTTTATTCTGTATCGGTACAGAACGGTCTTTGAGCTTGTTCTTTCTGTTCCTCTTCCTCCTCTCGTTTTCTCTCTCCTCAGCCTGAAAATGGAAACAAAGAGCAAAGGGCTCAGGGAGCAGCAGCAGCATCACAAGAAGCTCCTGGCAGCCATGTTGTCCCAGGACTCCTTCGATTCGGTCCACAGCCCTGCACCCTCAATCGCAGAGGAAGACATGGAGGACGAGGATGACGCCATGGAGCTTCTAGGTAAGGTTTTTCTCTTTGCTCACCCAGAGAGAAGAAAGAGAAAAATGTGCAGTGCATGGAAGAACACGAGGGGTTTCCCTGTGCGGTGGCCTACCGTTCATTTGTGTTTATCAGAATTTTTATAAAGAAGCCATTTATCTTAGTACTGAGCTGTAGCTGTAAATTAAGCCTTGTTAGTGGATGAGATGGATGAGCTGTTGACACACACACACACACACACACACACCAAAAACAGCCTCCTGTGGTTATCTTGCATGTGTGTGTAACTTCATGTTTGTCTAAGTATGCGTGCAGCATTTGCTGACTTTTAGTTTGTAAAAATGGCGGTTAACAGAAAAAAAGTCATAAGCTCTTCTGGATGTTGGGTTTCCTACACCACCTGACTGTACAGTATGTGTAGTGACTCTTGGTTTTGGTCAAATATTTTAGAGTTTCCACTGCAGATGCAATGTATCATTTTTAGTTAAGAAATGTTAAACATTTGGTTTCAGTTTGTTCTTCTCAGGCGCATTAGACTTCACAGAAATAATCAGAACTGCAAAGAATTGATTGTATAACAGGCATGGACAGATATTCCCTCCTGGCGTGTTGTGTTGATGTCGTTACTGCTACTATTTCTCTTTATTTTTGTGTTTTCTTTATTTGGCTGCACGCATACAGTCCTCTCAAATGTAGCATTTTCAGACTTCCTCTCTGGGAGTTGTGGAAAAGCACTTACTGGGGGAAAGGGAGATTCTTCATTTCAGAGAATTAACTCCTGGTATTTAAATGAAAGTGGTAGAATTTTTTTTTTTTTTTTTTGCGGCTGAAATGCTGGATGAGCAGAGCATCAGTCGGTTTATGTGCTGTCCTAAACAACGCATGAACAGGAGCTTTTAATGGAAACTGCACTTCCTGTTTACACCGACTGAAGTTTTTGTCACAGATTTGGGACTTCACTTTGACCCGATTACCCAGAGTAGCTCCTTTTTTTTTATAAAGAGCTGATGTTGTTTGAGGTTAAGTGTGCACACATGTCTCAGTGTTTGTGTGTGTTCACATTCCATCATGCCATCAAATACAGTCATAAGATGGATGAGCAAGGGGACAAGGCAGGTAAGAGAGTGTGTGACGTGAGGTCTTACTTTGGCTTCGTTCAGCGGGCCGAGCGCTCCTCACTCTTGTCTGTGCACCGGCTGGATGTAACGCTTCACGCCACACTGAATTTGCTGCCTGAAGTATTTTCTGGAACAGGAATTCTTTCTCTGTTTTCTCTATTATAGATAACATCCCTGCAGCGAAAGATAGCCACACAGCAGACACACAGTAAGAGGGGTTAGAAAGTGAAACAAAGTTATTAACACTGTGTCGTAAAGGAAGGTCAAAGACACAAACTCGCATAACAACAGAGTCCTCTAATGGGGGATAGAATCAGAATCTGACTTTCTGGAGCTGGTACTTGGAAAAGTCCGCTTTTCTATGAATGCAACATAGAGGTAATGTAAAGTCACTCTGTGTCTTCTACCTTACTCAACAAATACATGACAAACGGTACTCGTTCTGAAGAATAACACCCCACAACCTTTTCCTCTTAATTCTGGTGTCTCTTCAGCATTGGGCCCAATTAAAGCTCTTCAGTTTCTCTCCTTTCTCGTCAGAGCTGCTGCTCTGTGGTGACACTTCTTGACAAATCTCCGTAGGTCTCTGCTCTCTTGCTCTGCTGTCACAGAATGAAGGCACTCGGCTTGTTAGCTGGATCTTTCATCAGGGTCAACCAAAAGGTTTTGTTTCTTTATTGATGTGTGCTAGGAGGAACTTATACGTTAACACAGGCTAGAGCTGTCATAAATAAACGTTCTTATCTTCATAGCTATGGTTTGTTTTAATTGAATTGCTTGTTTTGCTTACACATGATCAGATTACACCATGGTTAGTGGAAACAGTAAGTTTCTCAAGTTTACTCCTTTGAAAGATATATATTTATTCTTTGCATTTGTCCTTGACATATTTGTAATAACTGTGTCCAGAGGTGCACACTGTCTCTCTCATTTTAAACAACCTCAGACTACAGTTACAAATAAAGTCGTTTTTGCACATTACCTGTGTGGATGTACGACACAGGGGCGGCAGTAGCTCAGTCTGTAGGGACTTTGGTTGGGAACTGAATGGTTGCTGGTCTGAGTTGGTCTGGTGGCTGCTGGCTGGAGAGGTGCAAGGTGACTGCCCTAGTACTGCCCATGTGCCCTTGAGCAAGCAAGGCAGTGGACCCCAAACAAATCTGACACTGTGTAGTAGTGTGTAGCAGCCCCACTCTGACATCGTTTTTAGGTTCTGTTTGTGCATGTGTGATACTACGGGCCTATGTGTGTGAGAAGCATGTATCTAATAACAGAATGTAAACCAGAATTTCCCCTCTGGATTAATATAGTACGTAGAAAACGCAAATAAAAAGCCATCACAGAATTTGAAAGCATGTAAATAAATAAACAGTGCATTATTGTTTGGTAATAATCCTTCTTGCAGCTTTCTGCATTCACACAATAACTGAATTAGTTTTGTTTGTTACTCCATACCTTCACACATTGGTATGAATAATTAATAGAGAAAGCCCAGTTATCTCCTCTTTTTATAAATAATTACTTCTGTCAATGAGCGTTGACCTTGAAGTCTAGTAGACTATATTAAGTTGGCACAATTGATGTTTACATCAGATTTGCTTTCCTTTGCTTGAGCCAAACAAAGGTATGACCTCAGACAGCGGTAATAGTGGAAGATACGACCTTAAAGCAAAAATATTGATGGTGTGTGTTGGCCCTCCCTAATCATAGCTCTATTGCACTCATATTCCCACAGTGGCTTTTTCACACCACAGCCAAGGGCCGTAATTCAAAGAAAATAATGCAGCGAGGTCATTTGTGATCCTCTGTCAAAGCCCTTCATGGTCCTCTTTCTGCAGGGATCGAAGCTGCCGTGTCTGAGCGTCCCGTCCCGCCTCTGTGTTGATTAAAGCGATGCTAACTTGAGCATGCCCGGTTCACTAGGTGAAATGAATAACCCTCAAAAGGATTTCTGGGCCTGGTTTAAAAAGAGGGTACTGTCTTATGATGATCTCTGGAAGCCATGTTGATCGTATTATTGATCCCTGAAGGAGAAATACATCTTCGCCTATGCTGCAGTCCGCTTGAAGGTTAAACATATGGTCAGCTGCACTCCTGGAGGCTGTGCGGATTCACTGACTTGCTCAAGGACGTGACACCAGGCAGGGTGTAGAGTAAACTTGAAAATTAGTTTACATCTTTTAAATTATATAATACAACAAAATAACTTGTACTTTTAATTTCCACCATGATGTTAATACAAATTTCCATTGATAGGATTTTGTTAGTTTCATGATATTACACCTTTTCTAAGTTTGATCAGCTGTCTTATGTCCAGATTTTGATACACCTAAAACATTTAGTTATTGCTTGGAATACTCAACAGTATACAGTATTTGCTGCCTCGCTAAAGGGAAAGTTATCACCTCCTCGCAGAGGCAACAATGGAGATGTCTGCATGTTTACAATCTAATGTTTGCAAAGGATGACCTCTAGTGGCTAAACGGTAACATTACAGCTGCATTTTCTACATTTCTACTAAAACAAAGGTTTTTGATCCAGGTTTCTAGTACTGATAACTGCTACTCTTAGATGATATTAGAGTTCTTCACATATGACACTCTTCCCATTAAAACTTTTGAACATGAATCCACACAGCCAAAATAAAAGCAGCCATGTTAGTGAGAGAGCCGTCGGTCTCATGGTGGCTCATTTATTATGAATTCAAACCTTCAGAGGAGACGGAAGAGTTCTCAGTGAAGGGAGGAGCACTTGTGTTTCCCTCTGTGTAAAAAACGGCGACATCTGTTGGGGAATAAGGTGCATAATAAAAGCAGATTTAGAGGAGACAAAGCAGGTTAACAACCAATCTCTAATTCCATATTGAGCTGAGGGGTTTTCCCAACTGGGTGTCTGTATGCCAGCACCTGGATATGGAGCTCATGAGAATGACATTAATAAGATCCTCTTGGAATGGTTTACATTTCTTCTAGCAAAGGTTTTCAAGACTGAATCCAATTATAAAAACCAAAGACATGGCTTAGATGGGATTTGTTTTGTTCATTTTGTTCCAAATCCAAAATCAGCTCAGAGCAGAAGTCTCATTGACTCTCTAGCTGCGCTCAAAGATGGCACGGGGTGTTTGCCCAGTTGTTTTCATTCATTCTGCACTTAATATTTACCACAACCATTTTGAAAATGAACATGACTCAACATGTCCTTTTAAAGGTTTGGAAAATATTAAGGTTCTGTTCTACGCTGGGCGGTTAAACCACAGTTTGAAATGGTCTGACTTCAGAGAAGGTCTGAGTTCAGTGTGTGGGTGGAAACACCCTGTTTCTGGCCTTGCAGTGTTATTTTATAGAACGTTAATGAGACCAGTTAACCAGTTATCCTCTGTGCAGTTGCTGCTTGTCATCATTGGTGGAAGTTTTCCCGTCCATATTTTCAAAATCTGATTTAGTTTATAGTTTATAAAAGTATGATCTGCATGCCTGTGGGCATATTATTGTGTTATTTTTACAGGACACACTGTTGGAGGATCTGAGCCGGGTTATTTAGAAGACAGGAAAGTTGCCTTCTTCTCATGTACATACACACTTATTAAAGTAGAGATAAATAAAGCCTCTTTCAGAGAAACAACGTCGGGTATCATTCCCCCCTGCATGAATCCTCCGATCCTTCTTTTTGAGTGTTGACCCTCTCTGGTATGACTCCTGAAACAGGAGAGCAGGAGGCGAGTGTAGCTTTACCTGCTCTTGAGTATTCACAGTGACGCTGAGCCTTTGATGGGGACAGGATGAGGGCAGGGAGAAGCTCTGTCAGATCTTTTTGATATGCAGAGCACAGCATTGTCTGAAGTTACACTGCCCTGTGTGGCTCTATTGTTCGAGGATGTTATCTTTCTTGATCACATAGAGCATGTAATA